TGAACGGCTCCACCTCATTACACAAGGGTTTCCATTTCTGGACATAGATCAACCCCTCTTCCCACTCGAAAGCTGCAAATCCCCTGTCAACTCCATCTCCGACGCTTAGTATTGCCTTCTTATTTGCAAATGGCTCCAAGGTTACCTCCGAATCTATCTGCAAGTTATACACTACCACTCTCAGTAGCTTCCTCCAGTCTTGAACATCCTTACTGGCGGAAACCACCATTTTCTTCTCCCAATCCTCCACTTCAGCCTCAACCCACACTTTCAGTCCCCTGTTTGGAAACATTACTGCCTTGCCGCAACTGGTTGATTTTTGTTTCAATGCCTGGAACGATGACTCAGCGGTACCCATCTTGTTGCTCTGTTCTTGTTCTTGTTCCACTTGCAGGTGATTAGCCGCAGACCAGGAACTTCTGCAACTCCATCGCAAATGACTTCCATCCTTGACCTTGTTTCCCTTCCGGTATACATACCATTTGGTTTCGGTCACCGAAATGTTGTATGATGGTAATGAACCACCCTTTTTTATTCCATCTGAGTTCCACTTTATATTTTTTCTTTTCCAACTCCAGTACATTCCTCCACCCTACGGTTTTCGTGGACTGAAGTGCTCCATCGATGAAGCCTTTCAACCAGTGAACAGCTTCCTCAAGAAGGATTAATGTCGCCCTTCTACCTTCTCTTACCTCCAGCAAATTCTTACTTTATGATTTTCCGCCTTCCATAAGGAACCTTTTCGCTTCGATATCCAACCCAGCCCTCCATCTATTCACCACCTGAAACTCCTTTTCGTTTTCTCCTCCCATTTGAAGAGGACACATGAAAGCCAAATATTATCCTCCACTGGGTTCCTAGAGATTTAGGTGTTCAGTATCTTGGTTACTGTGTTCCAATGGGTTCTGGAAGACACCAAAGGTAATATCACAATATGCATTCCTTTGGGCATAAGAGAACCAAAATCTCCCTCTGCTGCATTAATGCATCTCAGAGGTTTCTGGATTTCATAACCTCAGCTACATTAATGCCTCCAACTTCAAGCTTCAACTTTCTACTCTTCTTCAAGCTACTTACAGGTACATATATTTATTATTTTTTTTTCTTCTTTCCCCTCTAACTTTGACAACAAAACAGGGGTCTGCCCATTCTTCTTCAGACTCTCTTTTATATCGGAAGACCGTACACGGATCTGCTTTCTGTGAAATCCAACGGCACAAAACCTGCAGCTACAGGTATGTGCTTTGATGCTTAATGCTAACCACTAACTACTAGCTTCTTTTTTATCTGTTTTTTGACAATATATATATATATATAACTTCAATGGTTCATTATCAATTTTATTTAAAATTTAAACAGAAAATAAAAATTAAAAATAGAAGGATTAAAGAAAGACTTACATGTGGATAATTCTTGAAGTTGGATTATTAATTACTTAATTTTTTTAGTGTTTTCACTGCCTTTTGTCTTATATTGGAAAGAAGCAAAGATCTTTTTAACTTGCAAGTTGCAAATTTCAATCTATTATTTTAGTGCTTGTTGAATTATTAATTTGACAATTGAAATAAGTTTTATTTATTTATGATGCTTACAATATCTGCTTTTATTTGAATATGATGGTTTATTATTAGAAGTTTCAACTTAACTTGCGTTTGCATTCTGAACTACACATCTACTTGTGCTTGTGTCATGCCTCCGCATTTTAAAACATTTCAGATACAAGCAAGCTGCAAAATTGTGGAGCATATTTGATTGGTATGTGCAAACATTGTTCAAGGACCCAAAGGTTGACAAGTCAGACATTTCTATTAGAACTATGATTCTTGTATTCCTCCAAGGACTCAAGTTGATGACTTTCTTGGGCTCTCACAGTAGTGATGGAAGGTGAAGAAGCCTCCAGCTGTTCCCTGGGCTTTTCATCATTATGTTGGAGAATTTAGATCTTTGATTTCCATGATGAACATCTTATTTAGACGCATCCCAGAATCAACCAACTTCACAGTAGATTCTCCAGCTAAGGGAGGGATTGGGAGGAGAGATCTATATGGGGGAACTATCTATCTGGATGCTATTGTTATTTGGTCTGGCTTTGCAAGGATTTTTTATCCTTCTTTTATTTCCTTCAATTTACTCATGTCAGACATTTACACTCTCCTCTTTCTGCTTTTTAATACAGTTTTCTGCTATGGATCAGAAAAAAGGAGACACTAGTGTTAGAAAAAAGTGATCCTGGGGGCCAATGATATAAAGTTATACCATGGAGGATTATGGTGATGAATCCACGACTATTAACTACAAATCCATGCAAGGTATGAAGAGTCATGAGTCCAGATGTATTTCATATGCTGGAAAAGTTAACTAGCCAATACACAGATGTAATTGTGTCATAAATTCAAATTTATTCGGTCAACGACTGTTTAGCAAGTTGTCCTTCTCTTCCAAGTTATTCAAAAAGTAGTGTTGTATATTCTTACTTTTTATTATCAATGAAATTCACTGTTAATGATCAAAATAAACGTGACCATATTCAGAATAGTGGAATTTTCAAGGACTGGAAAACAACCATCATGATTGAAATGAAAACAAGGCAAAATACAATGGAAAACCACTATTTATTTGTAACGAGTTGGGCAATAAAAGTTGATTTTCTTTTTTGAAAATTGAGTATTGAACATCCAAATCTTCCAGAAGTGTATGTATGGGAAAATTTACCTTTTGTAACTCAGCTTCAAGTTCATCCTTTTGCCTCTCTAGAGCTAAAATCTCAGCAGCTATTTCCTGGAAAATGGACAAGAAAATAAAGGCTTACCTACATTTTCCTTACATGGTGGAAAGAAAGAAAAAGGACCTAGTCTCGATCATATAAAAAAAAAAAAACAGAAAAAGAACCTATTAAAATACATATAAGGGCCCATTTGGGACAGCTAATGAGCTAAAGGGTGGGGGTGGTAGCAATCCACTTAAACCTAGATTATGCAAAAATCAGCTGTACACTGAAGCTCTTGGGATGCTTGTTCTGACAATCCACCTCTTGGCTTAAAGGCAGCTGCACCCTTGACAGCTCAGAAAACCACCCCAAATAGCTATATTTTACAAACATTTAGGGCTGCTAGATGCAGGGTCTCTTATTTTCATGAGAATCTAGATATGATTCAAAATTCTCTTAACTAAAGCACTATTACATACATACATATGAAGAGGGAATCACAATTACTTTCTTGGAGAAAAAAATGAAGCCACACTGGAGTTGAATATCTTTGTAGCAGGGAAGTATGCACATGATGATGCACGTTAGGACCTCTTGATCTCATAGAGCATAAACCTTGTGGCAAAATGATGCAGGATGAAATGGGGGTACAGCCATTATTGGAGAATAGAGATCAAAGCCTTGGATTAATCAATCTAACCAATACTTATATTAACAGCCCTATAATAATTATCCAATCTAATGTAGAAACAGTGTGACTTGTAATGGCATAACATTGAAAGAAAGAAAGCCATAATGCAATGGCACATTGGACTAATATTGGCTGTTCTGAAAACCTGTTCAATTTTTAAAGAGAGAGCATACTCGAGTAGTAGTTTTGGATATAATTTTGAGTCTTAAATGGTCAATGCACAAGGGATCAAGACATCACATCTTAAAATAATTTCTAAATTCACATTATTGATTCACCACCAACAATGTGGGATGTTTACAATCTCATAGTAGTAAACTTCCTACTTTAGCTTAAGCCCAGGAAAGCAACAATTTGTACACCTAACTAAATTTGTAAGTGCACCCAGGTTCTAAATAAGGAAATGAAACACTTACCACACATCTAAACCCCCTATTAACCAAAGAATCCAAAAATAGTAAAAGAAGGCAATTACTCAATATTAGGTATTGGATTAGGGTCTTCGGAGGGTCTTCGGAGGGGAGGATGGGCATAAACCTAACCTTTTGTCATTTTAGCACAAAGTGGCTGCTTTCAAACGTAATCACACTCTCACGCTTGACAGCCTGAGATTTTACCCTCACACCAAGTAATGGTTCCTGTGTCCAAAAACAATAAAAAACAAATAAATAGTTGGACAGAAGCCACTGTTTATGCAGCTCATATATGGACCCCCATAGAATAGCACCATGTCATGTTGTCCAAGCCATAGCCCTTAAGAATGCCAAATTAAGGAATTCTTGTGGGCCCCATGATTAACACGAAAATAAGGATCCATGTATTGTGGGATGTAAAAGGAGCATGTAGATGCTGGATGCCATGAACATCAATTGTGGATCTCACTAGTGATTCATGTGAGGTGATGAGGCACTGGAAATCTCAACAATCTCATGGGTCTTTTTTGTTCTTTTTTGATAGATATAAGGAAATTTTATTGATTAAATCATAGATCAAAAAATATACAGACAAGGCTTCCCAAAAGAGGCATAAGATGCAGCCTCAAGAACAAAAAGAAATTACAGATGAGCACAGAAAAGATGGTCCCTTACCTTATTTACTAAGCTCCTTGCTACAACAAACCAATGTTGAAAGGATTAGAAATCAGGTTTGGTGGCTGGCTGAATTTTCAAAGATTTTTTAACCTAACCCGGGAACCAATTTCCGGGTGATTTTGAAATCTAAAATTTTGGAGTCGATCTTGCACTAAACCAGACCAAATTTGAAACCCAAATTAAAATTGATCATACCTGATATGGAGACCACAGTGTGCAGCTCACAAGCAGTAGTTCACGCCCAATATCAGTCCCAAAATCGGCCTCCAACTGAAGATGGCACAGTGTGTATGTAAAGCAGATTCAGCAACACTGTTTCAACAAAAAACAGTCTCCAACTTGCTTGGATCGAAGTGGGTATGTGAACCTGATATACTCTTATGTTTTTCTTGCAAAAACACACCAGAGGACTGATAGAAATCGTCGCCTATCAAAGCTAGGTCGAATTTAGGGTTTCTGGAAGGCAAGGGAGAAGAGAAGAGAACAAGAGAGTGGAGAGAATTAGCTGAATTGGACTCTCCCCTCTTTTTCCTTTATATAGAGCACTCTCTTGATCTAATTAAAAGTTGATCCAAATCAAATTTGGATCATGAGTTTATCTTTAATTGATAAGCATTATCTTCTTAAGAGGATAAGTGCTCCATACCCATATCCATGCCCATTTTCAACCCAAGTCAAGTTGTCATGTGATCACTTAAGTGATCATATTAGTAATGGGCCATAGGCCCATTTTCTCTAATGGTTCATGCCCCAAGGTGTTTCATGGCCACTTTGGGCCTAAATATTGTATGGCATGGGACCCACAAAGGTCTCACACAAGTCCATAAGGATTCAGCCTCACCTCTAGTAGAGGTTAGGCCGAATTCACTACTCAGGGGTAGTGGACCCCTGACCCAATCAGCTTGGGTTCAGTTTGGACCCAACAGTTACACCTAAATGATCCTTGGATTCAGCCACCCTATGAAGACCCAAGGATAATGGGCTTATGTAAGATGAAGCCCATCAGGTAATCAGCCATGTAATGGCCTCTTATAGCTAACCTCTCGGTCCATAATCATTAGAACACTGGCCACATGGAAGGACCTCTTCCCTGACTACAAAATGCAATGTCACACTCTCTTGAATGGATCCCGGGATTAAAACCTTTTTCATAAAATAATAATATAGCATATAAATATATTTTGCAAATCAGATTTCAAATACAGTTGAAATCCACTGCCGGAAGTTTAGGTTTCCATTAGAGAGAGTGTAAAGCATGATATTTGCTTTATTTGACAAAGGGGTCGATCCTATCACTATGATCACCCAGTCAAGTAATTTCCCAAACTGCCCTAACATGCTTAAGTATTTGACCCTTGATGGATCTCATTAGTTGGCACATCAAAGGCAGCTCAATCCAATACCTAGTATTAGGGTTGTTCACGGGTCGGGTTGGGATGGTTTAATAGATTTTTTTCAACCGACCCGACCTGGTTGGGTTACTTAAAGAGCAAACCAAAACCGACCTGCCATTAAACAAAATCGACCCAAACATGAAGGGTCAATTTGGCATTGTTTGTGAACAGCCCTATATTTGGTGTAAAATTTCCTACTCAAAAAAGGTAAACAATCCTAAAGACAAAAGTAATTATAAGTAATGTTTAATTGTTCTTTAATGTTAAAAATAAGTAACTAACCAGAAAGAAGAAACTAGGATAGGGATTACCTGGTTAGCGAAAGACTAGGAAATCAGAAACTAACTCGGTTCAGTTTTGGTTTTCACACATGAAAATCGAACCCAAACCAAATTATCGGCCTATTCCTCTTCACAACCCAAAACTGACCAGTGGTGAAGAAAAACTGGCCAAATCGGGTTGGGTCGGGCCGGTTTGGTCGGTTTGGCATTGTTTGTGAACAGCCCTACCTAGTATAGTATCATAATCAAGTTTAGGGTTAAGTGCAACTTTCTAGTTTTTTCCCATCTACCTCCAAGGTCCAGGGCATAACTAGAAATTGGTCCAGGTTTAGTGTTTCTTCTAAACAACCACTGGTTGTGCTTCAAGTCTAACCCCAACAGTTGAGACAAGTTGCTCCACCAGTTCAGCAGCACACCAGTGTCAGCCTTATCAGAATAAACTCCCTAAGTCTATCCAATGCCTGAAAACATTCTAAATTAACACAAGTCTCATAAGTGTCCAATTTAAGGAATAATTCACAAAAACACACCAATAAGAACATGAAACAATAATGTACTTTATTCATTCACTAATAAATGTTTATGTACATCAGTCTAATTGGAGCTAAGGGCATACATTGTCTAACAACCAATGATTTCATGGTCTATTAAGTCAAGGTTCCTCCTGAATCATATTGAGTTGTATTACTAAGGCATTTGAGTTTCTTGCATGTTTGAACTTGGAGTATGAAATAACTCATTCAGATTATGAGCAAAGGAAAAACACTAGTCTTAGCTATATGCATTTCTAAAGGGTGCAAAGTGAAGGATGGTCATGCTGCCTTCCGTTGCGCATTCGGATATAGTATCTTGCTTAGTAATAAAGCCAACAATGAAAAATCTGACCAGGCAGGAGATCATAAAGATGATGTTAACCTTAAATATTATAAGAAACCATGATATACCGAGGCTTTCTAGAGACTACATGGATGGCCAGATTTGAAATGGTGGAAGGAATGCAAGAGTGGATAGTTCACAGTTATAATGCTTTTCTTAGGAATCAGATGGAGCCCAATGCAATAAAAGGTGTTTGGGAGAAACCATTTCCTCCAAGAGTGGAGGTTTTTGCTTGGCTGGTTTCAAATTTTCAATGGGCAAGTATTCTCACTCAAGATAAGTTGAAAAAAAGAGGCCTTCAGTTCCCAAACAGAAGTGTGCTATTTATGGTTGAGGAAAAATATTCTGCACTTGATGTTCCAATGCAGCGTTGTGAGAGGAATTTGGGCCTACTTAAAACTGTTGAACATGGCTGGTTGGGCACCCAATGGTTATACTGAGATCTTTGGAAGCTGACCAAGAATCTTGGGGAATGCTAAAGAAAAAATTATTTGGAGTTGCATCCCCTTTCCAGTGTGCTGGGAGGTTTGTAAGGAAAGAAATAGAAGAATTTCTGAAGGGAATTTGAAAAGCAACGGAGAATTAGGGGCATTAGTCAATTAAAAGATAATTGGATGATACTTCCAGAATTCATAGGCCTCAGCAAAGAAGACTTTGGAGTGGATTTTGGAGTACCTTGAATGTTTGTCTTTTCTTGTATTTTGACTTAGTGATCTGATTTGTGATATGTTTTATGTCCTTTTTATTTTCAGTTTTGCTTGATGAGTGGTGACTCCTTGTCACTTAGAAGTTGTATCTTGCTATATTTTTCAATAAATTTTCTTCTTTATTTATCTTCAAAAGAACTACATGGATGGAAATGTTGTTTCATCCATATACTGTTGTTAATCCAATGGAAATGTTGTTTCATCCACAGAAAATTCTGATTCATCTCATGCTCCTCTTCCCTGGGAGACCTAATAACCCTAGTTACAAACTTACTGTTGTGAGACCTAGTTTGTAGTCCTGGGCCTTAGTAGTCAACTACTAAGTATACTATCCTTAGTAGTCGACTTCTATCAATATACGGTTGTTAATAGTTGACTACTATCATTATACTGTTCCTAGTAGTCAACTACTTGACAAAGAGACTTCCTAATAGTCGACTACTAGGACACTGTTGTAAATTCTGCCACACTAATTTTCTGGACAAGTTCCTTGACTGCCCAACACTTTGCTTCATACAACATAGCTGGCCGTACAATTATTTCATAGAATTTTCCTTTTAATCTATGTGGTATTAGCCTATCATATAAACTCCAGAATTTTTCTTTTAATTCTATAGGCAACATCCTCCTCAATCACTCCCCTGCTAGAATGAAATTAGTACTTAATAACATATTATATACAAAGCACATAAAAGACCAACTCCTTTTCATGCACTAATTGAAGGGTTAAAAAATTTAACCACCAAGAGGCATCTTCAGGCCCTCCAACAGGCTTAGAAATTTTCCTTGAACCTCCACCAAGTAGGGGTGTAATGGGTTCAGGTTTGTGACCTAGACACCAACTCTAAATGCAGTTATTTCACCATTATGATGCAGGGGATTTTAGGCTCATCACTCCAAATAATAAGTAAAAATGTGGTATATGAAAACCAACATTTTGTGGAGAACAGTACACATTTTTTCATGCATGTAACAAAAAAAAAAGAAGGCAATAAATGGACTAATCGGTTCCCTTCCATAAATATAAAGAACCATGTTGTTAGTTTTAATTATGTTGTTACCATGCTGTCAGCTAAGACTGCCGGCAGCATGTTCTTTTTTTGTTTAGGGTGTGCCACCAGGGGCCTATGAGAAATTTCTTGTAATTGTTATAATACAAGTTTAAATAAAAGAGAAGCTGGGCACCTCCAGCTCTCATCTTTCAACTCTCTCATCTTTCTCTTCTTCTCCTCTCCTCTCTTCTCTCTTATTCCTCTTCCTTGTACGATCACATGGTATCAGAGCAACATTGATTCTGGACAATATTTTTTTTCTCTTTTCGCTAAGGAGTATTCACTCAACCCAGGCGTCAGTTTTTTGTTTTGGACTGTGAAGACAAAAAACTTCAAATCGGACTGATCAGAAACATCTCTTGTTACTTCTTCTGGGTTCTTCCTTGGTCGTAGCACCAAGGTAACCCTAACTGGTGGAAGCCGATGCTGTGAAGCTTCCTTGTCCTCTTCGACTGATGCTGTGAAGATCCAAAAAACCTCTTTTTTGACCTTCGGCTGATGCTGTGACCTTTGGCTGGTGCTGTGAAGGCTTGGCTCCATCGACTGATGCTGTGAAGCCCAAAAAACTTCCTTTTTTGACCTTCAGCTGATGCTGTAAAGGTCTGGTTATGTTTTTGCACCTTCGTACAGGTGCTGTACAGGGGTATGTAATCCCCTGTGTCCAGGTATGTGCTAAAATCAGTGTGTGAAGTGTGGAATTTACAGCAGTTTTCTTCTCTTCCTGGACTGTTTATGTGCTGCAGAAGTGTGTATATGCTTTCGGAAGTAGGGTGTGGTGCTTATGCCTTAACTGTGACTATTAGAAGTAGTACTGGTGCGAGTACTGGTCTTGTGCACCTGCAGTGTTTTGTTCTGGCTTGTAGACCTGCCTTTGAAAATGGCGAATGATGATTCTGCATCATCTGGGGTTACATCAACCTGTGGTACAGCAAGTATGGGGACTGAAAGCATGATGTTCCC